ATATCGTTTTCTACCTTTGTACAAACGAATGGAGAAACATAATGCCGATTTGCTATAATGACTGAAAGCCGTTAAGTCGGTGCTCCGGGTGTTGAATTTTAATATCTACCAGGCAAATTTATTTTCCCCCCCAATACCAAAAGACTGTTGTTTTAAAGGCCAACCTGCAAGGAAAAGAATCAAAGAGCTACAAATGGGCCATTAAGATTGAATGAAGAGTTTTCTGGCAGTTCGGAAATCCGGTCCATAATGATCCATACTTGCATTTCACCTGGCATCAAAGGGGAACTGCAGTCCCAGTTTCTCGGACTGGTTATTAAATTTCGGTAACAAAATAAATTCCGTGACGTTATAGGAACATGTTACAAATTTCGAATGAAGAACAAAATCGCGAACTTTGTCAAAAGTCGCCATGTTGTCGCAAACCCCTGGTCTCACTACGGGGCGGGAGCGAGAGTTCCCACGAAGCGCGACGTGATGAGGCGCTTCCTGCTCACTAGTCACCGTGGTGACTAGTGTAATGCGACGCACGAGGGAATTCAGCACAGGTCGTGCAGCTGATATTTCACCGCAGAAATGTTCCAAAGGGATCTGCATGCAGAGTTAACAAATTCCATTTATTGGCAAACCGTCTCGAAGTCGAGAGCAATATTTCTGTTGGATTAAAAGAGCTGGAATCACAAGCCTGCTTGTTTACAATGACACAGGGCCGCGTCACCTCACCAGATGTTTTGTTGCCTCGTTCTAAGAATATGGCGCTGCACACACTTGGGAAACTTGGTCTCTTTTGGCACGGGAATTGGAGGTTTTACAAGTTACTGTGTACATTTGACTTTTATTGTGGTTTGAAATGCCCTCGTCAATGCTGATTCTTCCTCACCCCGAAATACCATAATAGCTTTAATTCAGCCAGTAGCTCCTTCCTGCCCTCATGCTGTGGCTGTACCTGAGCAAAAACCAAACACTCCTCTTCTCTTTGAGCAAATTGCTCTGGCCAATAAACACGCAAGAACCCGGTCAGATGGAACGAGGTGTAACTGAAGAATGAACTGCTGACTTGGCCACGGAGTTTGAGAAGAGGTGGGCTGAACGCACATGGCGTTTCTGGAGCAGCACGGACAACAAGGCATCCAGCGTTCATGTGGAAGCTGTCCAGCTCATTCCAGCACCAGAAAAGATGGTATTTATATGAGCTGTGGCTCTGGAGTAAAACAAAGACCAGGATGCGGTCTTGCTAGAGTTTAAATCAGCACACGTATCAGAAAAGACCCATGGCCACTGCCTCAATCACTTTCCTGAACATGAACAAAAGGGAAAACATTAATACGTTTGCTAGGATTCTAGGATCAAGCAAGTACCAAGGCAAGTATAACTGGCCTGGTAGCCTTCTGCTATTAACCTGCTTATGTTCTCTAATTAGTTGACATAGGAGAGATCAGTTCGTGCTGATGTAGGAAGAGAACAGGGAAAAACAGAAACGTAGCATAGCACGCAATACAGGATGCAGGAGTTATAAACTCCTCTTTGGGACAAGGAATTTTGCTGGTCTCCTGCAGTTTTGTAGGAATGAAAACAAAACTATTAAAAACGTTTGTTTGCCGTAAGCTGGAGAAACACATGAATTAAAACTGTTAGGGAAACATGGTCTTGAAGGACACACGTGTACAAAATAGTAGTAGAAAAGACACATACCATCTGACAGAGCTCAGAGCCTACTAGTTCAAACCAGAGGGGGTCCTGTATGCAGAAGGACAGCAAGCTTTATTCATTGAAAAGCACACTTGAACAGGATTAAAAGTCATTATTTTATTTATTTAACTTCCTGTAGTTTTGTTTTTCAAAATAACTGATCCCGAAAACTGCTAAATGTATTTCTGGTTGTGTTTCTGTGACTAAAAGCTATATGAGAGAATCTCAATGCACCTTTCCTAAGATGAAAAAGAAAGTTTTAATCGAGCCCGTTCTCACAACTACAATCCACACTGAAGAGCACCTGGAAAAGTGTCTTTGAAACAACACAGTTTCAATATACTGTATATAGAGTCATAGAATATCCAACCTGCCATGTTTTATGGATTTTGCATTCTCCTTTTCCACTGTGGTAAAACTTTCAATCTTTTGTGAAAGTCTTTACAGTGGTCTCGCAGCTTACTGGCATTTTCTCCTTTCCTCCTGATACTGTCCTTCCCATTCGTTCTGTGAGTTGGTACAGAACAGGCAAGAACGGTAAGCCAGCATGATCACCAGACGAAAGCCATTCAGAACGTCACAACTGTATGCGCACAGGCAGTTTCTGAAACATTCTGACAAGACGCTTTCTGCCAAAACCTGCTTCTGCCAACTTTCTATCGCCTCATTAAAATGTCAGGATCCACAGAACATGAGATGATACATTAAAAGATTTCAATACAGAGCATCTCCCAGCCTTTGCTCTCTGAGCAGAGACACTCGAGGGTTTTGTTTTTGTTCCTGACAGAACCAATAACACAAAACTGATTGTTTTTTTTTCCTAGTTATCAAATTTTCCCATCACCACCCATTGACGTTTCAGAGAACTGCAGTTCTGTGGGAAAATTATGCCAGAAGGAGCCCATTTAAAAACAGTGGTTTGTCATGTTTTTCCATGACAGTTCCTTAAAAGAAGCAATAAAATCGAAACGGTTCGCATCACAACAGGAGGTTGTGACAGTCTGGCTTGGATCACTAAGTTGACGCTAAGGACAAAACTGTTTATGTATGACGTACTGTATACTGGCCACAAAAGCTGGATTGGTAATTGCTGAATAAGTGCTTAGAATATTTTTTCCTATTTGAGCATTTTGGCTGGAGTCATCTAACATCTACAAAACTATTTTTGTAGAGACGTTTTTCTCTAGTTCTACACAATATGCCAGTGAACATAGAAGAGAGCTATAAAAATCCCTTCAGGAACAACTACTACAGGATACAGCAAATAAGAACATCCTAAAGTACATTCCTGTACAAGACAGAAAGAAAGCCCTCTAACTCCACTATGAACACACCTAGGAAATAAAATAATCTTCTACAGCGTTCTTTGCAGCTTTGAACTGAGGTCTGTACTGTAAAAAAACAAAACAAAACATTTGGTATCAACCTTCTGAAAAAAGCTATTTTGAAAATGTCTGAGCACACCGGTGTTCCGGGGTTCGAAATGAAATGAAGACTACATGGGCTCTTCAATGGTCAAGGCTTGATCACTGTCTGTGTTGCTGTCTTGGATCCTGCTGTAGTCAAAATCTATGGTGACCTCTTGGAGGTTTCTTTCATTGGCATTGTCAAAACTGTTCTTTCCATGGATCTGCTTGAGGTGCTTTCTTAAGACAGGCTTGTGTGCAAACACCATGTCACAGTAGTTGCACTTGTGGGGCTTGTCCCCACTGTGGAGGTTGAGGTGGTCGAGCAGCGAGCATTTCTGCGTGAACGTCTTCCCGCAGATCTTGCACTGGAAGGGCTTGATGCCCGCATGGACGCGCATGTGCCTGTGGAGATTGCCCTTCTGGGTGAAAGTCTTGCCACACAGCAGGCACATGAAGAGCTTGTGCATTTTCAGGTGGTTGGCGTAGTTCTCCAGCTGGCGGAAGACCCGGGCGCACTTGGGACACTGGTGGTACCACTGGAGGCCCTTGTCCGAGGATCTCAAGTGCCCCCCAAATGCAGTTTTCCCAGAAAGCAGGGCAGCGGTGTTGGTAGTGACGCTGTAGCTTTGAGACTGCTGTGCCACTATGTCCCCCATCCGGGTATCGACGGTGGAGTTGATGAGGGAGTGCTGGGGCTCGGGGCTGTGGAGAGACGCTGCCGGGACAGGGCTGGGGAAGTGATTTTGCAGCTTGCTGTTGGAAACATCCGCGATGGACTCCACCTTGACGATGGTGATGGCGCCGTCCTCCTCGCCGTCCGGGTTTTCCTCCTCCGGCTGCGGCGGCGGAGACCTGGGCTGCACGATGACCTCGTCGTCCTCCTCCTCCTCCTCCTCTTCCTCCTCCTCCTCCTCCTCTTCTTCTTCGTCCACGTCCACCGCCACGGGCTCAGCAGGCAACTCGGTTGCTTTCTCGGGGCTCTTGGGACGCCTCTCGTCATTCAGGGCGTCTCTCGGCTTGATGAACTTGGACAAGGCCCGGGTGCACTGCTCCACGATGTGCCCCATCTGAAGGAAGCTGGCCACGGTCAAGTAGTTGACAAGTTCCAGCTCGGGGAACTCCAGAGCCCCCGTGTAACAGGACAGCAGCAGCTGCTTCCCAACCTCCGAGTCCTGGAACATAGAGATCTTGACTTCCTTCGAATCATTCAGGAAGAACTGGTCCCTCAGGAACGGAGAACCAGCCGCAAACACCACCCTGTGCCCCGGCACCTCCAGGTCGTTAATGTGTACCGTTACGTCGCAAAACCGGCTCTGCTTCCTCAGGGTGTTCATTTTCTGCAACATGGAATCTCCATAGTTCGAGAACTTGAACTGAAGGATCACCGGATTGTGAGTCATGTTTCACCAGGCCTGTGGAAACGAAGCGAAATATAACTAAATAACAGAATGACGTTGGGAACTGACAGGAACGTCACTTAACACAGATATGTTCATGTCGGTGTGCTCCTCATCTACAGCGAGGACTTCAAAACGTGTGTGGGATAAACAGACACGAGTTGCAGTAAAAAGTGTCAGAGCCTTCTCGTTGGTGTCACGCTGAAGAAGGAAGCCTAGCTCCCAGGCTTACAGAAGAGTGAATATTATTTCTTCCACGCTTTACTGGAAGCGATATTATGTGGTTGAGTGCTGTTTCTTCCCATATTGAATTAGAGGGGTTTGGTCACCTTAATGCACAAAACTGTCAGTAGTTTTTAGGTGGACGTCTGGCAGAAACTAATATAGAGCCTTCTGAAGTTGCATTGTGTTTCTTAACACATCGAGAAAAAAGAAGAACAGGTTTTAGAACAACAAGTGAAATGGTGGTCCTTTATACAACCAGGTGGATGCTGCATATTGGTGGTGGTGGAGGGGATCCCCATTACCTGTAAAGCGCTTTGAGTGGAGTGTCCAGAAAAGCGCTATATAAGTATAAGCAATTATTATTATTAATTAACAAAAATGTCTACGACTCGAACATTAAAATCCTTATATACCACCCTGTTAAATAAAGTGTAAAATTATTTGGTTGACCAAGGCATGAACCCCTTATTATAAAACAGCAATCAGCAACTTCATTAAAATGATTGAACTCATGAGGTGGCCAATGTTAATTAATGTTAACAACTTGAGTGTTGTGGTCCTTGGGCCATTTATCAGATAATTAAACAGTTCATTTAAAAAAGGGCTGAGAAAGGGTGGTGGAAAAGGCGTTTGTGGTTTGTAAACCTGGAAACACCAAAGCGCTGTTAAACAAAAAAGCACAGATAAAAAAAAAGGGACCATTTGTGGAAAAGCCAAATCTGGTTTTGTGTCTGCAGGTTCTTGAAATCTCTTCAGAGCACCAGCACCTGACGAACTGGCAGAACCTGTTAAATTGGTCAAAGATATGTTAATTTTGGTTGTTAACAGCTCAGCTCACCTCTGACTTAACTGAACTTCTTTGTAAAAACCTGTCAGGAGGTCCCTATCTCTTGCTCATTAGCCCTTGGGATTTTTTCCTCATCTTTTCTAGGATGTGGAAGGGTGTCTTTATTCCTGGAAAGTGCTAGGGCTCATCGTGACCACAGTAATTTGAGAACATTGTGGAAATTTAAACAGTAGTCTCGGGAGAATAAGGTTAAGCAAGTCGGTCATATAAACTGAAACAAAAATGAAATATGCATGTGTTTTCTGGCAGACAAATTGTAGTAGGTGGTTGTAAAATTCTAAAATATAGCTGTAAACACTAAACAGCACGAATAGTTGAGCTTCTCATTAATTATAGCAATCCCGAGTGCTTATATTTTTAAAGTACATGTCACTCCTCTCTTCCCTTCCTCTGGGAACACTGAAACCTTTATCAGGAGCCAAACAGGAAAGGAACTTGTCTTATGCATTTTGCAGACACATAAAAAACGATAAAGTAACTCGTCAGCTATGAAGCGGTGACATAAAACGTAAGAAAAAGAACGCAGAAATTGCATATCGACACGTTAGGCTGATATAGCAACACAGCTATCAATTCAGCCCATGATCCTGAATTCATTACATGATCCTGTTCATGACATTTTGTTGCATAAAAAAGTGTAGCTGTAAAACTTAATAAGCTATGCCTATGCACCATTAGAGGCGTCCTCTTTACTGTTAAACGCAAGAGGTACATAGAAAAAAAAACTTGCCTTGGTTTTGGGGGAAATTTTTCAAACTTGTCGTTTGCTTTCCGGATTTCGGTTCCGTTGGCCAAAAAAAACCCACAACCCGGGTCACGTGACGCGCTGACATATGTACTTCTAGACAGGGGAGACGGACGTAATTCTTAATTAACCATGTGCCAATAAAAATAGATAACTTGCATGTCTTTTGTCAGAATGCGCACTGCCTCTCTGTACGTATATCCGCGAATGAGGTGTTATATTATTTTTAAGTGCCGACACCTGGCAGCGTCAGATGAAGCGCTTTTTAAAACAGCACTTTGGCACCGAGGGGATGCACAACAGCTCTTGTCCTAGATGAGATGCCCCTTTTTTTCCTGACCGTGACTGGGGTCCACTAACGCACCTTTGGCACACTGATGAGTAAAATGAAAAAAAAAAAAGTGTAGGGGGCAGCCAACTCGTGACTCAAACAAATCCTGTTTCTGCGACACGAATACTAAATGAAGCCTCAATCGTTTTAGATACGGTAATCCTGGGACTTGAGCATCTAGAGATGGCTCTAGCAAAGTCTAGCGTCCATGTTTGAAAACAACTACTACCCCGCACTGTATCAAGACTCGCCTGCAGTCTAAAACAACATAAAAGTCCCCCCAAACGTGCTTTCACTAATAGCGCCATTAAGGCGACGTTGTACTCAAGCAATCTCAAAGTAAAGATATTACCTCTTGCTCCAGATTTTATGTCCTGAAAAAATGGCAGATGTACTGATGAGCAGAAGAAAGGAGGAGCCAGAATAATCTAGATAAGGTATCGTATTAGTATTTAAAGCGATACCACTCTTTTTTTTCCCCAGACGGGGAAAAATGCCGCAGGGTATTTACGGGTTGTGACTTTCAGGGGGGTGAGGAGGTTTTTACTGGCAGTTCGTCCGGAATTTTAGCGGGGGGGGAGGCGAAGGCGATGGGTTCATCCATCATCTGCCATAAGCGATTCTCGAAAAGAGCCTTTTCAAAGTCCACACGCTCGCCTCCATTAAGGACGAGAGTCGAGCTTTCCCGGTGACGGCAGGCTGTTCAAAACTACGCAAACGTCCTCCCTTAATTTATCCGAGGGTTTTTTTTTTCCTCAAAGGAGCTAAAGTCCAAAGCCCTACAAAAGCACACAACCTCGCTGACGAGCCCCGGCCCTTATTTAGGATGGAGACGTATGTCTGCAAATGCTGGCAAATCTATAACTTGGAAATCCCATTAATTCACGCTGTAGAAGAGTTTACACGTGCTCAAAGGCGGAATTTCATAAAGCCCTTCTCTGTTTACTCCTGTGTCTTTAATGTTTTCACCAGTTACACCTTTAAACCACAACGAGTGGTAGTGCGCTTCAGATCTCCTAACTTCGGCCACCTCTGTGCTCAACACGGTAGATGCGTGAACGGACCAACGCTACATACAGCTCATGCCGGGCGTGTTGTTTAATTGAAGCACACTTGGCAGGACAGCCGAGTTGTTTGGTGATCAAGTAAACTGAACTGCGACGGCAATAAACCACCATAAAAGATTAGTGAGAGTGTACGTCACCTCCAATGACCCTGTAAGGAAACCAAAATATATTCCTAGTCAGACCGTGCCATCTTGTGTACACAACGTTGAACTGCACGTTTTCTATTTTAAACCATCGAAGTAAGGCACCTAAAACACACAAACTATGTAGGGAGAACGTTGCAAAATACAGGCACCAGACAGTATGACTATTCATCTTATCAAGCAGTTTTGTAGTGTACATCAACTACTTGGACAGGAAATTGCATAATTGTGATGGAACCAGTATTGTTCAACGTCTGTGGTTTGTTGAATAGAGTTGCAAGAAAAAGTTTGTGAACCCTTCGGAATTACCTGGATTTCTGCATTAATTACTCATGAAATGCGGTCTGATCTTCAACTAAGTCACAATAATAGACAAACACAATCTGCTTAAACTAATCACGCACAAACAAAATTGTGTGTCCTTCTTCTTGTCAATATTGAACACATTGTTTAAACATTCAGAGTCCAGGTGGGAAAAAGTATGTGAACCCCTTGTATTTAGTAACTGGTAGAACCTCCTTTAGCAGCAATAACTCCACCAAATGTCTCCTGTAGCTGCTGATGAGACTTGCACAACTGTTAGGAGGAATTTTAGACCATTCCTCCTTACAAAACTGTTTCAGCTCATTGATATTTCTAGGATTCCTTGCATGAACAGCTTTCAGGTCATGCCACAGCATCTCAGTTGGGTTGAGGTCTGGACTCTGACTTGGCCATTCCAGAACACAAATTCTCTTCTGTTTAAGCCATTCTTTTGTTGATTTAGTCCTGTGTTTCAGGTCATTGTCTTGTTGCATCACCCAACGTCCATTAAGCTTCAGGTTGACGGACTCCTGCCCTGACAGTTCTCCTGTAAAATGTCTTGATACAATTTTGAATTAATTGTTCCCTCTATGATAGCAAGCTGTCCAGGCCCTGAGGCAGCAAAGCAGCCCCCAAACCCCACGATGCTCCCTCCACCATGCTTCACGGTTGGGATGGGGTTTTGGTGTTCGTGTGCAGTGCTTTTTTTCCTCCAAACATAGCGTTGCACGTTTCTGCCAAAGAGTTCAACTTTTGTCCCATCTGTCCACAGAACATTGTCCCAGAGGCGTTGTGGAACATCCAGGTAGTCTTGTGCAAACGTGGGACGTCCAGCAGTGTTTTTTTTTGGTGAGCAGTGGTTTCCTCCATGGTGTCCTTCCATTAACACCATTCTTGTTCAGTGCTTTTCTGATAGTGGACACACGAACAGAGACTTGGGCAAGTTCAAGAGATTTCTGCAGGTCCTTTGCTGTTACCCTAGGGTGCTTTTCCACCTCCTTCAGCATTGCAGGCTGTGCTCTTGCCCTGATCTTTGCAGGACGCCCACTCCTAGGGAGAGTGGCAACAGTACTGAATTTCCTCCATTTGTAGACAATTTGTCTTACTGTGGATTGATGAACACCCATGCCTTTACAGAATGCTTTTGTAGCCTTTTCCAGCTTTATGCATCTCTTCAATTCTTCTAAGGTCCTCTGATATTTCTTTTGATCAGGGCATGGTTCACATGAACAGCTCTTTCTTGAGAAGAGTAGACTCTGTCAGTAACCAAGCTTTGTGTGCCTTTTTAATAGGGCAGCCCACCCCTCCAATCTCATCTCATTGATTGGAACACCTGACTCCTGACTAGCTTTTGGAGAAGTCATTAGCCTAGAGGTTCACATACGTTTTCCAACCTAGACTGTGAATGTTTAAACAATGTATTCAGTACAGACAAGAAGAAGTACAATTGTTTGTGTGTTATTAGTTTAAGCAGATTGTGTTTTATATTGTGACTTAGGTGAAGAGCAGACCACATTTTTAAGAGTAATTAATGCAGAAATCCAGGTCATTCCAAAGGGTTCACAAACCTTTTCTTGCCACTGTATATCTTATCCGAACCAAAACACAACTTAGTAAAAAAAAAAGTGAAAGCTGTGGGGCAGTGCCACACAAGTTCTAGTTCTGGAAGAATTTCATATTTTTCAGAAAATGGTTTTAATCACAGTTTGATCAGCTCTATCACACTGTATGGCCCTGTTGAAGAAACGCAACATAGGAAACTGTAGTACAGTTAATATTGGTAGCAAAAATCCAGTAATTATCGAGATGCACTAAGACTTACAGTACATCAACTGATCAATATATTGTATCATTAGATCAATACTAACAGTCAAGTTTTTTTTTTTCCGGTCCCCTTTTCATTATCAAGTTCAGCGATATGTAAAGTTATGTTTAGGAAATAATGGATATTGCCCCCTGACTTGGCATATATAGTTTTTAAAATAAACCTAAATTTGTCCATATTTAATTTAAAGCTTTCATAAGAAGTGCTTGATATTAATTCCAATGCACAGAAGTGCCACAGTCTGACAATTCAGAGGCCTTTTACAGAGGTTAGAGGCAAACCGTTTGAAAAGAATTCTCAAAGTAAAACAAAGAACTGCTTGAAGCTCAGCATTGACAGTTCTTCTTGAGCTCTAGATCCCTGTGTTTGGCAGCAGTGTGCAGCAGGAGTTAGGTCTCTGGACTCACAACATGCAAGTTAAAATCCGGGATGATGTATTGCTTTTATATCCTTGAGAAAGAATACAGAAGAATCACAGTGATCGCCCCAGTAAAGCTGGTCATCAGTAATGCCTCTTCAAAGTAGCTGTGTTTCGCATTAGAAAGACTATGCAATAGTGCACAGCAATCCAGCAGTCCATAGCTGGAAGGACTGGAGTTACTGAAGTACTGGATGTCATCCTGCAACTCACATCTGACAACCCACTGGAGCTCAGCAGGTGTGAGCCTGGGCAGTACCTGGATGGGAGACCTCCTGAAAAAGCTAAGGTTGCTACTGGAAGAGGTGTTAGCGGGCCCAATAGGGGGCGCTCACCCTGTGGTCTGTGTGGGTCTTAAAGCCGCAGTATATTTACGGGGACACTATGCTGTAAAAAGGTGGCGTCCTTTGGATGAGACATAAAACTGAGGTCCTGACTCTCTGTGGTCATTAAAAATCCCAAGGCTTTTCTCGAAAAGAGTAGGAGTGTCACTCCGGCATCCTGGCCAAATTACCTGTTGGCCTTTACAAATGTACCAATCATGGCCTCCTAGTAATCTCCATCTCTGAATTGGCTCCATCACTCTGCTCTCCTCCCCCCTGATAGCTGGTGTGTGGGAAGCGTACTGGTGCACTCTGGCTGCCGTTGCATCATCCAGGTGGGGCTGCACACTGGTGGTGGTGGAGGGGATCCCCCTTACCTGTAAAGCACTTTGAGTGGAGCGTCCAGAAAAGTATAAGCAATTATTATTATTAAAGTACCTCGTTCAAAATTCAACAGTGGGATCTCAAATCCACAACCAACCAGTTTATGAGTCCAGAGACGTATCCACTATGCTACATTGCCCCCAAAGATAGTGAGAATAGTACACTTTAATGAGTAGTAAAAGTCTGGTTTCACGAGATGGTATGTATTTGTGGCTATTGGTGTCAAAAAAAAATAAAGGATCACAACATGACATCGGGACTGTGGTTTTACATTTTCTAGTGTTTTAATAAATTTATTACCTACAACTGATCATCAAAACATCTTACTATACAAGCTAACTACAAAAGTCTCCCAACCTTTAGTCATTAGTAACAGAACACTGGCAGCTTTGTGTCCCTCCCATCAGGACAAAGTTGCTGTGTTTCCCATGAAAAAGAATAACAGTACATATACACACAGCAATACCTATGGAGATAAGGAACATTTATGCGATGACACCAATAAAAATGTAAATCACATTGACACTAACAATGACGCCAGTAGAGGTGGGGAAACATTCAAGGAGAGTCTGCTTTGCTATTTTATTTCTTCTGCATTTTCCATGATTAAGCTCCGACAATCTCTCTCTCCAACAACACACAATCACTGCCCAGGGAAGCCCCTTAACATTTGGTTGATGACACAGCACGGACTCAAAGCAGCCAGAATAATAAATAAAACATTTACATAGAGCTGATCTACATAGAGGTTTCCTATTGACATTACAGAAACGCTCCTTTTAAAACTCTTTCTTCTGCATAGTTCCTATCATCAGATCCTCCGATACAGAAAATCCCTTCAGAAGTGTTTCTTTATGAGAAGAATAAGTTCCACAAAATACAGCGGCATTAATCTTCACTGTGGATTTCTGCAGCTACTTAATCCATGTGTTGTTTTGATTTTTAATGCACAGATCCTGGTTGGTTTTAGACTTACACATAAACCTGCCTCATTTTCTAGTTATCCTCCTCCTTTCCCGTTGGGATTACTCCTAAAGACCGCTGTTTTTCTGATGCAACTTAAGGATACAACACAATATATTTGCAACTACTTCCCCAGCTGCTATAAGCGACATTAGACAGACTAAATCCTGAAGGACATTTTAAGAGGAAAGTAACTGAAAAGATATATGAAGAACTACTCACATTTCAGATAGGTACAACAAAGCCATTTTCAGAAACTCATTCCTCTAAGGACTAGTTGGTTATCATGGTAAAACAAGAAACAAGGGTAAAATCCTCCATAAAACTAAAAACAAAAGGATAATACAATGTGTAACTTTTTTGTAGTGTTCTTTTCTAGTTGCATAAAGATTTGACTTGCACAATTACAAGTTACACCAGTTCACTTGTAACTCTCATCAAGTTAGACATTAGCCTTAATTCGTTGTTAAGCTTATAACAGAGGATCCATAGATCCCTAGAGAGATTAGAGGTGAGTGTTTCAGAGCCATTCCTACCAGCTGGCTGTGTAGATCGAAAGGAGAGCTACAATTTTCGAAACAAGTTGAAACAGAGTTCACAAGCTGAATTAATCAAGGGCGCAACATAATCCAGAAAGAATAGGATTACTCCTGGACCACAAATGGGAAACACTGTTCCAGAATAACACTGTAGTGGTATGATGTCAGACAAGCTCGTTTTTCATACTCAATGAATAGTCCACATCGCAGGTGCTGCCTTTGCAAGCATTTTGCATACCCATTACTCTGTAAATCACAATAGCCACAATTTGTCTTGAAGGGCTCCAGAAAGTGAAATTCACGATCCACCCAACTGTGTTCTATCTCTGGGGGGGATTCCTGCATTTTTTGTTTTTCAGGAGTATGTATGTAATGAATGACATTTAGAGACTTCAGTGTGAGATTCTACCCCAAAGTGTGCGTCTCACTCTTGATGAGTACACTTTGCCAGCCCCTGATACAGTGTTACTTAAGAATTGTAAAATCCGCTTGGCCTATTTTCCTGTGTAGAATGATTTTTCAGAAATAGGCATAGCTAGAAACAAAAGGTAAGTAATAACAGCATTGTCACTGGCAATAACTTTTACAACATTGCTAGCACCGAAAAAATATAAGAAAATCAAACCAATGCTTCTGTTGCATCTACAGTGCCTGTAGAAAGTCTTTTCTTGGTTTTCATTTGTAATTACTTTTCAGAATTCTCTGTGCAGCTGTTTCTCACTTGGAGACGGCGTGTTACAATGTTTTAAGAAAGGTACAATAAATGTGTTACTTTAGAAAGGGTGTGTAGACTTTCTATAGGCACGGTATCTGAACACAAACTAGCATATTCATGCTAACAGGGATGGGAAATGCTGATTGTATAGACTATTGCACTGATGCACTGCGCCACCTCCCGATGTTAGTAGGAGCAGATGTGGGAGTGAGAATAGTAGGATGTGATGTATTATAAACTCCAACCCCACCACGAGCTCAGAGGATAATGGGACCATGACATTTCCCTGCCAGGACACTGGAATCTGATTGGCGGCCATATTATTGTAATCAAAATGTGAATCCCACCTGACGTGCAATAAGTCCACTGGTTACCGCTGTTAAAGAATAGGAATCAAGTTGGACCTTCATGGTGTTGCTTTGCTAAGAAAGAGGGGCAGAGACTTCCTGCGCTGGTTGGTCAAGGAAATTCTGAAGGGAGTTTTGCTGAACTCAACAGCGACGCAAGCAAACACCCTCTCCTGCACATGACAATGAGAGTAAATAAGTTGAGCACCAAACAAACCCACATTTATTACTCCTGGAAACCAGTGGACACCCAAAGGAATATAAACTCTTGAGCTAAAACCTAAACGACCAACAATTCCTGATTTATTGGCCGTGTTCTACATTCTTCTTTTCAGTGTACCTTTTAACAATAAAAACGTTTTTTTCTATATTCTCCACAGGGTACACAAGTGCTTAATAAAGCCTACCATAATTATGCCTACCAACTTATGGTGTCTAGATCTAATGAAACACAGTTATTCAATGCAGTACTCTCCTTTCTTTTTGTAGAAGACCGTATAAACGCTGAATAACTCAGAGCACAGACAGGAACCACGAAGACTTGTTTAGGAGGTCACAATCCCACAGTGAAGAGTACCTATGCACGATTAGTCATTTGGATGTTTTCTAATTGTCTCTGGTAAAAAGCCCTTCTCAGCGTTTAAGGATTTTTGATCCTTGCGATCTGGGCGTCCAAAAGTGGAGACCATCTGTGGCGTGAAACGTACTCCCAGAACGTGTGAAACAAAATGGCTAGTGAAGTGCAAAACGTTTTTTCCCCCCCTCGTGTTTGTTCGCCTAAACATCTTCTGTTTTCCCCATGAAGTCGGCTTGCAACGGCAGATCAGTTTGTGAGGGTGTCTTGTCAAACCAGGCAATCGGGTGGCCAGACAAGATTCTAGACAGCCACAAACCAGCAAGTCTCATCGGTCACTCTTCTAGGCCTTTATAAAGACGTGTAACACGCGAATTTTGGTCAGCTCATTAAGGTGACCGGTTCAATTAACTTAGGACCGGCCAAGCTAATTGAACGAATCACCCGCCTAAGTAGTCAAGATGTAATTATCCCTAAGAGAGATAAGATCACTTTATTAGCCATCTACAAGTTCTTGGATTAGGAATTTGTCTTTTTCGCAGACCCCAGCATGCTCTCCATGAGACACACAGACAGGGAGAGAGAAGTTTGGGGTCAGACCGCAGGGTCAGCCATTTATACAGCTGGAGCAGCTGTGGTGAAGGGCCTTTGCTCAGGGGCCCAACGGAGTAGGATTCCTCTGCCGGCCACGGGATACGAACCGGCAACCTTCCAGCCACAGAGCCACCTCCCCACCGCCCTGTTTCGGAAACTGATGGTCTAAGGGTGACTCGAACCAACAACCCATGGCCGTTCCTCATTAATGGACTTTAAGCGTCATAAAAGAGACAGATCTTCTGTTTTTCCTGCAGACTGTCGACCTCGGTGGCCTGGAGCTCTTCCGACATGTTCTCCAGGCTGCTCTTTCCGTGAATGTCCTTCAGGTGCCGCCGCAGGCCCGGCTTGTGGGCGAAGTGCACCGCGCAGTAGTTACACTTGTGGGGCTTGCTCCCCGTGTGGAGGTTGATGTGGTCCTGGAGTGTGGCCTTCTGGCTGAAGGCCTTCTTGCAGAGGGGGCACTCGAAGGGCTTGAAGCCCGTGTGCACGCGGATGTGCCGGGTGAGGTTGCTCTTCTGGGAGAAGGTCTTCCCACAGAGCAGGCACAGGTAGAGCTTGTGCTCCTTCACGTGGCACATGTAGTTCTCCAGGTGCTGAAACACCCGACCGCACTTGCGACAGTAGTAAGGCCTCTGCAGCAAGACGTCGTGCTCCGTGAAGCTGCCCCCCGACACGACTTTGCTGGTGGGGGACGGTTTCCCTCCGCAACGTTTCGGGAAACCCCCCTCCTGCGAGGCGAGGTCCCCCGAGGCCAAGCCCTGGACCTGTAGCTCGTGCGCGGCGAGCATGTAAATGTCCCCACTGTCCTCGTCCTGGTCCAAGGAACTGTCCGCCAAGTCGGCTTGTACGTGACCCTCCGGCGTCAGAGCGGGAGAGTACGGCCTGGCCCTCCTGCCCGGCGCCGGCCCCCAGTCCAGCGGGCTTTTCGGAAGAGTCTCGGTCTGGACGATCTGGACGCTGTCTTCGGAGTCCAAGTCGAACTCGCCGTCTTCCTGGGCCTCCTCCCCGCTGACGGACGCGGAGCCGGGATCCCTCTCCGGCTCCGACAAGGCGTCTTCCGAACCCCTCTCCTGCTTCAGGTTGGCCAGCGTGGGGTCCAGGTACTGAGAGACGGCCTGCGTGCACCGTTCCACCACGTGGCTCATCTGCAGGGCGCTGGCAGCCGTCAGGTAGCTGACCAGCTCCCTCATGGGGAACTCCAGCACGCCCGTGTAGCAGGACAGCATCAGCCGCCGGCCGATTTCCGCGTTCTGGAGCACCGACACGTTCACCTCCCTCGACTCGTGGAGCAGGAACTGGTCCCGGAGGAAGGGCGACGAGGCCGCTAGCACCACCTTGTGGCCGTGAAACTCGGAGTTGCTGATGCGCAGGGTGACGTCGCAGAAGCGTCTCTCCTCCCGCAGCATGTTCATCCTCTGCAGGACGGAGTCGCCGTGCGTCCCAAACGTGAAGTGGAACATGTCCGAGATTGGCGTCATTATGCAACTACCTGCAATCAAGCAAAACACCAGAAAGGAGTTGAAAATAAACGGCTCCTTTAGCCCTTTAGTTCTCCTTAAGAATGAACGCAAAGGGTGGACTGAAAAATGTGTAATATGACCGACACACATCAACAGGACATCCATTGCTGACTTCTGCTTTAATTTTAAGACTTAAAACACAAAACAGGTGTGATGTCAGTAGAGTAAAGCCATGTAACCAAGGGGTAGCAATCAAGACGCCTTCATTTTCAGTCATATCAACTACTATAAATCTGCAATTGTCAGGTCTCGTTTGTATTTGCATAGAACATGCATATTCTGTGCGTTTACAAAAACTTGCATTCAATAATTTCCCTAACTGCCTTTAGACACTGCGTATGTAAGGACTTCGTGGGAACTGGGAAGCAATACTTAAAACAAGATGCAATGGTTAAAAAAATCGGCTGTAAATTAAAGTAATCGACGTTTACTGGCATAGCAATTAATTTAAAGTGGGGCTGAAAGTGTTGCTGTGTTTCGGCGCATGTTTTTACGATGAACACTGACTTCATTTATTCCGTTAAGGAATTCGCCGATATAGTATTTTAAAAGCTGCAAAAGCACGTGATCAACAAGCAATTTATTTTTTCTCCACAGTGAAAACAAATAAGGTCCTGATTTACCAAATAAAATCTTTGATGCAAGGCCACTTGTAAGAACTTCCCGTTACCTGCCCAGGATAATTACAGCAAATTCCCCAATAAACTGCTTTCCGTTTTATATTCCATTGTCAAAACGAAACTACCCCCTGTAGACCTTCGAAACATCAATACAGAATCAAAACATCTTTAAAGAAAACTACATTTACAACAGCACTGATGGCATCTTATCAGTTTTGTTGTTAAGGTAGTTTCCTATTATAACGTTTTTTATTGCTGTTGCTACCATATGTTAAGGGAAATGCACACATTTTTTAAATCCTTGAGACGGTCCTATTTTTTTTTAACTCACCGTAAAACAGAATCTGAAGATCGGAAAATGTTTTCTCCGAAACCGATCAAAGCACCAAGTTGAGTACATTTTCCCAACTGCAAGCCCGGCTGTCCATGTTCTTCCTAGAACTAGACAGGACTTATAAAAATTGTTTTACAGTCACGGGCAAACGCTGCGATCGTTATTTTTCTCCGCGGAAAGGTATAGCGCGTTTTGCAAAACAACAACAAAAAAAAAAAAGAAGAGAGAAAAATCTTAAATCCTGCAGCTTAAGAGTAGCACCTGCAGAAGGGACCTGGGGAACCGTTTCATTTACAAAGAGCTCAAAGATGGACCAGAGCCACTTCCTGCTTCCTGTGCGCCAGTACATCCCTCACATGTGCCCCCACGGTAAACTGCGACTCCCGCACCGCTGAGGGCACAGTCGGCTTTCGTGCGAGAGCATCACGAAAGTTAACATATATTGTAATATATGTCATCCTAGACATTAACATCATCCAGTGTCCTCATTCAGTTTTCCCTCGGAAATCTAAATCGTTGCCCACACAAGAATACTTGAGGAACATTTGGTTTTTTAAGGACTCAATAAAGCTAAATGTGTTTATTCCCTTGATTTCCTAATCTACAAGGCGCTCATTTTCGCGGATATAGATTTGCAGACCAGATTCAACTGAAATACCGAGTTAATTTCTCGTATCTCAATATACGCCTGTGGGTACATAACAAACGTAAAGATACATTGTTCAAGTAGAGAAATAATATAACTAGAAAGCTCATATATACATATATAGTCCTTACAGATTTTATTTGGTTATGACATTTATTGGTTATCTCTTTTATATCCCTTGTGCAAAGGGAGGTATTCAAACTGCTAATAAGCGAGAAAGTCAATTACGTGCAATACTTCAGCCTTTTAAAATGTAATATAATGTTATCCACAGGATGGCAGTCTTTGCAAGCCGATCAAGTGTTCACTGTTCTGTGTCGATAGCATGTTGAATTATTTATAATTTTGCTTAAATTCAGATTACTTTAACCCACTCCTTTCGAATCGTTTCCTTATATTATCCGGTTTTTCTTTTCAGTTTATTTGCAATAATCGAAGTTTCGCGGAACGGACAAGCAGCCCCAGAAATAATTAAACTTTAAAATAATTCAGTTTAAACATTCAATTTAAAGTTATTAGCTGAAGATCTCTCATTCATCTCTGACCTAATTTTAGAACTGGAACTGGAACTGAAAACTCAATTGAGAATACGAAATGAGAACAGTGCAGGAAAATCGACAATAAAGTCAATTTGCTTGTACTGTATGTAATGGGTGACACATTATACGTCGTTGTGCAAAGAAACGTAATCTTATCTCTATATACTGGTGTAAAATACTCGTGTAATGTTACATGGTGTAAACAGGTACGGGTCACAAGGTGTTATCAGTAAGTCTTAAATTATCTCCGTTAAACATTACTGAATGGAATCCCATTTAAAACGCATCACGCATTTTTGTTAAGACTGATTTGTTTCAGTTTGCCCTTAGGTATGCATTTGAATTGCTATTCAATGGAGCGCTGCAGATTAACCAGACTTCATAAGGATTCTTAATAATAATAATAATAATAATAATAATAATAATAATAATAATAATAATAATAGCTTACAGTTATATAGCGCTTTTCTGGACACTCCACTCAAAGCGCTTTACAGGTAATGGGAATCCCCTCCACCACCACCAGTGTGCAGCAAAAGTGCTAGAGTTTCAGGAATTGTAAAAAAATAAATAATTTTGGTAGTTTTAAAAGTCTCAAACGTGCCTTTTATTGAATATAGTTATTAAATAATTACATTATCAGACATTAGCCAAATAAATTATTATGGATGAACTAAATGGACCAGAAATGTGTACCCCCGTTGTGTCTGTGATATACTTAAAGCGATTTGGCCATCCGAATCATGAGTTTAGATATCAGCCTTGTTACGTTATTCTTGAAAGGCCAACCGCAGCGAAATGTCTGAACACTTCTGGGTGTATTGCGATTTTATTACGGCGAAAAACATCGGCCTTTTCAACCTCTTCCAACCCGTGGCTCTAGAGATGAATAAAAGCCCTCGAACTTTTACACACTGATTTACAGTACCTTCTGATTTTACGAGTGCCAAAACTGAAAAGCTGTGTGCTGTGACTTATGTTCCTATGACAGGATGTTATTAGTAAAATACAGTAGGTGTGAAAATAAAGAGACATAATTACCCTTTTAATGGATACCTAATGTATAATTTGACAGGGGTGGTGCATGCATGCGATGTGCCCATTCAAAGCACTGAACGTGATAAATGCTCTTGATGCCTGGATGCGGTGTCTTAAAAATGCAAAAACTGCTAACCCGTTGAAACTGAGCTGGCACTGTGGATTTTGCTACAGACAGAGTTATCTCTATCTATTGTTTAAATCTGCTTCACAAGAATGCAGTGTTGGGACATAAGTGTTGTTTTTGTTTTCGGTTTTGGAGCCGACAAATTGTTTCTGGATTAATGGTGGCAGGGAGAAGTACTGTTCGGTGCCCGGCCACTGACGTGCAGCGAACCCTCCGTGAATCATTTGGCTAATCCTTTGTTCATGACAAAACTGGATTATTTTGCATTAACAGTGGCACCTACTCTTTGTATCTCCTTTAATTTGATTGCTTTTAATGCCTGTTCTCACGTTACCCAGAGTA